CCATGGACACTGTTGGGAAAAGCACGGATGTGGCAATCATTTCCCTGAAAAAATATCTGAATGGTTTGTTATGAAAGTCTTCTGGAGGCAGCAGGAGATATAGTAGCATTTCACTGATGTCTGAGAGATAGTCTTTCTCTTTTCCTTCTGATAAACAAATTTGTTCTCGGCATATTTCCTTCTCCATTTCATGTTCTACTTGAAAGAATGCCGTTTCTATATCCAGTGGAGCACTGTCACCTTCACTTTCTTCCACTCGCTGTTTGGCTTGACGGTAAATTTTCAAATGGTTTGTTAAGTCATCCACAAGGCGTGTAGTCAAGAAATTTACCCATTCAACATCTTTGGACCTGTTTGCAAAAGCTATCAGTGCTCTCTGTAGTGTCTGTCTGAGATCATACAAGAAGCCTTCATCTGTACTGATGTTGTCGTAGTACCATCCATGGACGTAATCACGAAAGAAGAGCTGCAAAACCTCTTGTAAAGGTTCATCAATGATGCTCGAACCAGTCAGGCGCTTGTCCATTTTGAATGACAATCTGCTCAGTTGAATTTCTTGAATCACTTTTTCAAGTCCTTTTGACACTGCGCCGAAATCTCCTTCCAGAGTGTTTTTCTTTATCTCTTGCGACATTAGACAACCCCAATAGCCAAGCACAAGAGCGAAACCGACAGCGAACAACAAGACATACAACAGGAGGAAACATGTCCACCATATTCCAAAGGTTGTTAGGGACAAACCGATGACCAGAATCGCCCACCCTGCCTTACGCACATGAAGCTGGCTAGTTTCCATCCTTCAGCGAATTAACAAAACTGGCAGATAAATCACGAACAGTGCAGGAACAGAAAATTTGGCGAAACGAGAAATTGTTACGGTGACAATTTGCGACAGGATCACGGGATTCCCTCACGGTCGAGAGGAGTCTTGGGTAAAGTCCTATGGAGCCCCTCCAGAATGATCCTAAAGGATCCCCAGACCTCATTCAAGGAGAGCCCCAAATAATTTTCCTGAGCGGGGACCTATATTTCTTTAGCTGCGGCGCGACAGAAAATTATGAGAAACGTTAGGGAAAAAAAAGTAGTAAAATAAGCTTTAAAAAAAATAAGATTTTTGAATTTTGCAGAGCACAACTTTCTGATCAAATTTTTTTTTTAGGCAAGAAAGTCCTGAGTGAGTAATTTAATGCCCAAATATTTAAACTTTGATTGCTGATAGAAATTGATTAAAATTGATTTAAAAAACAGGGGATCGTTTTGGAATCCAGATCCTTGGATTCTTCTTTTCTATTTTTCAATTGAATTTGATTTGTAAGATAGTGAAAATAAGCTAAAGAAAGAAGTAAGAAAACCTCTGGAACAAGGTCATGGGGTCATTTCTGGGGTTGTACAACACAGGCCCTGCCCCTCCCCTGACCATGGCTGTGACATTTGACAGGAGGACCAAAAAAATACTTACCTACAAAGGCTCATATAATTTGTTTTGGACCAGCTCAAGTAAGATGTTTCCAATCTATTAATTCATATTGTACTCCAATGAGGACTCCATTATTGATGAGTGATGGGTGACATTGGTCAAAGACTCCTCTGAAATGACTGATCATGACTTGATTTAGCACCCTCTTTCCAATAAGCACCCCCCAATCTATAAGTGCTTCCGTTGGGTGCTACTTTTTTATAATATCAATTATTAAATTCTTAATTTGTGAATTTACTTATATTATTGACAATGTTATAATTATATATATCTTTTACTGTAAATAATTATTTTAATTTTATGTCCATACACTTTAACTAGTTTGTATTTTCTTTTGTTTACCTATTTATTTAGTCTGAATTTCAGCCGTCTCTTCCCTTTACCCTGAGGGGGGCGTAGGAGAGAGACGTCGTCTTTCTTCCTCCCCCCCCCTCAGGGTAAAGGGAAGTGACGGCTGAAATTCAGACTACTATTTATTAGTTAATGTACATTTAAGTTATTTTAAGAGTGGGCTTCTTGACAAGTAGCTTTTTAGCTAAGTGGAGTGGTCACAATAAATAAGGAATTGCTTACTTTATAAATAAAATCTAGAATTTACTTACTTTTTAAATTAACACCCCTGTTCTAGAAAGCATTTTTCATTCAATAAGTGCCTGTATTTCAAGCGACTTTCAAGAAAACGACATTGACTAAACAAATGATGATTTTGTAGTTTACTTTGAACTCTCATTTGAGTGTAATATTGATCGTGAATGAGTCAAACAGTGCTACAGCTATATGAGCTCCTATTAATGAAAGTTCTTGAGTTGTCTCTGTTTTTGATCATTAACCTGGAGGTGCTGGATCACATTCAGATGTTAGTGTCCAAAAAGGAGTAAGTTTGCCCCTTGAGCTACCATATGCAAATTGGCATCCTGGAGGCTGTTTTGGCATCATTCTGATAGTTCCTTTTAATCTATAACTTACGTTGAAAAGGTTCTTTGAGAGGTCTATAATTTGTAACAACTAAGAAAATTTAAAATGGTGCAACCTAAATGGACCAACACAAAAATTTCAAAACATACAACTATGACAAGCATCCCATTAATGCCATTTAGAAAGTCAACAACTAGACCTTGTTATTGTTAGTTACACTTCTCTTTATTTCAAACATATTTCCCTATTATTAATTTTTCTTAAAATAACTGCGATAAATTTGGCAATTGTAATGTTCGCAACATCACACTAGAGATTTCATAATCACTTCACATTACTGTCTGCTTATAGAAAAGCAGGACTTTATGGCCTAACCATAAAAAAAAAAAAAATCACTCAAGGTCGACTGGTCATCCAAATGAATGTCTGCTGTTGCTTTGTGTTTTTGCTTTTAAAATAAAATAAAATTTTGTCCTTTTTAGCTATGTTGAGTACATGTGTTTGGGTGTGAGACCCTAGAGTGTGGCAAGTATTAAAATAAAAGTTTAAAGACATGACATGTCATCCCAGTTGTGTGTAGCACTTAGCAATAACATACTCAACTATGCTGATCTCTCATGTCTTTAGATCTTTACCTGCTACTTTAAATATAAGATATTTCATATATTCAATTGCTAAAAACAAAAGTGCTCTTTCTGTGGGAAATTTTTGAACTAAGCAAATAGCATTTACAGTTCATCACCCAACTGACTGAACCTTGTGGTAACCTTGCCTTTCAAGTTTCAATTTTGTTTTCATGTTCCTTAAGATTCTCAACCTTGAGTACTTTCTAATGGATAAACACATTGTCCAGGTCAGAACTATTACCTCTCCTAAATGCTGTATCTTCTATTTGCCTACAAATGTACCCGGTGAGTGATACAGGAAAAAGTTAATCTAATCTTCAGTGAAGCAAAAAATTTTTATAGTCACTCTACTGTTTTCTATAATACAATTTTAAGAATGGATAGTTGCAAAATTCCCTGTTATTGGATTTAAGATGTGCTTTTACTGCATAACTTACTTTACAAATTATGTGGCATTCTACAGTGTTAATTGTTGAAAACCTGACACATATGCCAATATGGCATATAAATCATGTGATTTTAATTTCAGC